AACAAGGTCAACCCCGCCCTTACTCTTAGCTTAAGACTTCTCTCTATTCCTTAGTAAAAGTTTGTCTCCGCAGCTTTGTGAATAGGTTTTAAGAGAAAACTCTTAGCTAAAAACTTTAGGAGAAATAAAATGTTTTGTGAATACGGGCCCTGATATCCTATTTAAAAGCCAACACAGTTTTACAGAAAGACTATAATTAGTATTTTTTGTTGTTGTTGGGTAACCTTGATGAAAGCCTCTCCTATCTAATCAGTTTGCAGCTCTAGAGTGTTCATTATAAAGTGGACCTGTCTTGCTTTGTTTACCGTTTCCTAGGTGCTTTGGATCACCGCTTTAGACAGCGTAACAAATGAATCACGGGCCCTGATATCCAATTTAAAAGCCAACACAGTTTTACAGAAAGACTATAATTAGTATTTTTTGTTGTTGTTGGGTAACCTTGATGAAAGCCTCTCCTATCTAATCAGTTTGCAGCTCTAGAGTGTTCATTATAAAGTGGACCTGTCTTGCTTTGTTTACCGTTTCCTAGGTGCTTTGGATCACCGCTTTAGACAGCGTAACAAATGAATCAGAAAAAAAGAGAAAGAAATAGACTGAAACCATGGAAACAGTCCCAATATAGGAGACAAACTAACCTGGAGGCAAAAGAGTGACAACTGATCACTCCCTAAGAGTAAAAACTTGAGATGTGAATGTTTAATTAGCTCAATTGAGGTTATAATAGTAGTAATATTAATACTTGTACCTAAAACTACTTATTTGCTAAAACAGTACCACTACTATTTGGACTGCAATTATGATTATATATATGATAAGATAACAATACATAAAGGTCTCCCACTCAAACTGAATTGGTTAAAGAATCAGACCCACTATAAAATGTCATACATTTTTAAAAAATGTTTAAATAGTAGTGTAGACATGACATAGTGTGAACATGATGCCACCTAGTGGTCAAGTAGTCCTATGGTCAATAAAAATATTTCTATGGGCTAACATCAACCCAAAATAATGTTGAAAAAGGCGAATATTTGCAACCTAAAATGTGCTTGATGTAGTATCTAAATTAAACAATTTTATTGTATTTACAGGTTACACCACTATTTTATAGAGTATTTTTAGGGATAGTATAATTTATAAATAGCTGTGTGTGTGTGTGTGTGTGTAAATATTGTGATGCTTTCAACAAGTGTTTTTTTTAATCAAAGTTTTTGTTTTGAATACTGTGATATGATTTACAAAAAAAGGGGAGAGAAGGAAAAATAAGTCTTCAGTTTTGTGAAATATTCTAACTATATCCAACAGAGTTATTTGACTTAATTAATAAATGCATGCAATGTCATCTGCTGTCCTTTTTTTAAATTATTAAATTATTTTATTTTATTTATTATTATTATTTTTTAATAATTTAATTTAATTTGTTTATTTTTCATTATTATTATTTAACAATATATTGATGATATATGTTTATGACATGCTGATTATTTATGTTTATGTTGCTAAGAATTCAGACACATATATATTAGGAAAATCTAAAAATATACAAGTATAACACTTAATGTTTGGGAAATTTTTTATTTAATTTTTTTAAATTTAGTGTTACTGCTTTAGGCACATTATTTAGTATGTCAGCACATTACAAAATGTTCTACCAGATTTTTCATAGAAACCAACAACAAAATATGAGTAATAAAGGCCAAGAAAACTGCCAATGCCCAGCATTTAAATGCCCCAGCTTGATATTTACTTCTAAATATGACTGATTTATGCCCGTCTTCCTACTAACACACTGAAATCTGCTTATGGCAAAGGATATTCTAAAGTTTAAATAGATTTGTCACACGAAAGAGCCTGCTCTTGATAAGCCTGATAAGCCTGTTAAGAGGAAACAATGATCAGCACAAATGTGTGTTCCAACATCCTTGTTTTAGTGCATAAAACAAAAACAAAAAAAGTATTTTTCACATAGTTATAAAATTAATAGATGTATCATGTAAATATCTCTATTTATTCTGGATCCAGCATCCATTCCATTTCTTATGAATGAAATAAAGTAATATCAAGTTTACATATAGGTAAACACAAATGCAGGCCTCTAAAACATGTCAGTTAATGTAAAATGCATTCTGCACTTATAAGGGAGAATGAATGTCACTAAGCTTTGGATTGTTACACATGCTGTATATGTGGTACAGTATGTGTTGTTGGTTATGTGGTCCTGTTGTTGCAGACGCATGAGGTGGATTAAGGCTTGGCTGTTGTCTTGCCTGGTTCCCTCCAGCCACCAATAGCTTTCTCCAGGTAGAGAGCAGTGGCCAAAGAGAGACGGTCCTGTAATTTACCAGTCACAATCTGTACGCCCAGGGGCAAACCCTCCTCACTCAGCCCTAATGGACACTGGGTCACTGGCAAACCCAGGATATTAAAGATACCTGCAGAGAACAGAACCACTTAGAGCCTAAACTGCCCAGGAACATGGTCTATAATAAGTAGATTATGAGTAGATCACAACCAACTACACTTACCAGTGTAACAGAAGTTGAAGGGTGTGAAAATTGGGTGGTGGTGTTTGGGAGAGATCTGGGGATGAGAGGGGTACAGCAGCACTCCATCTGTGCCCAGCAACTCCTCCAGCTCCTGCTGCAGACTCTCCTTCTGCTGTAAAACGAATGGAGATGGATGGGAACTCTGGAACAGCTCAACTAGCGCAAGACCTGAGAAAGAGAGACAGAAAGGAACATTATTATCACATGCATTCAACTTCAGATACATAACTGGCAAAAAAAAAGTCGTTGCCAGAATTTTGGGAATGCTCATCACAAGAAGACACTAGCAGCATTGATTTGCATCTCATGCCAATAAAGTTAATCAGATATGGATGGAAGGATGATTCAGTCAGTCACAGTTAAAAGGGCACAAGCTCATTTGCTCCATCACACACCTATTGCTGCTATGGTATGAGAAGAAAACCCCAGAAGCCACTTGAACAGCTCCCAGACAGGCCAAATCTTCTTCCCGCCTTCACTCATTAGCTCTGCAAAGGTGGTGGGAGGCTGAGA